CCTCATCAGTTATTTGCTGTCTCTCTACGAAGCCATTTACCTTTTCTTCATCTGATACATCTCCCTCTAGTGAAGAACAATATTCTTTGGCACAATGAGAAATGGTTAAATTCTTAACACCTCTCAACTTCAGATAATCCTTGAGAGATTCCAAGGGCAAATCCAAGAAGTCTTCATAAGTGTAAGTTGTTTCCATCTACAAAGTTAACGCAACTTATTTTTATTTTTGTAATTTTGAGACGAATAAAAAAAGCGAACAAACCTTAGGTAACTATCAAGGCGACTAAAACATGCCTATAAACTGACGATTTGTGCTCAGTACAACTCTTTTCTCTATGACCAAATGGTCGACACATTCACAAACATCGGCTCAGATTGAGCAAAATATCGATCCCCTAGCCGTGATATTTACGCCAAAACTGAAATACATAGTTACCTTGAATATTCTGGAAGGTTGCTTGACAAAGTAAGTGAAACAAGCAAGAAATTAATAATTGATCGAAGAAGTGTGGTGTCACGGGCGATAAATTTACAAAGATTGTATGGGGTTTGGTAGCCGCGCCTTATGATAGCTAGCCTACCCGACAAAATGGCTTCCAAAACCGTCACAAGGTCTATTGGTACATGATGATTATAACTGGTGTCATGGACGGAATTCACGAAAGGGCTCCAAAAAAACACATCTCCGAATAGTTCATGGGCACATACTGGATGTAAAACCAGTCATCATTATGACCACAATTTCAAAACTTTGTGTAAAGAGATTATACTCTTTCTATCTTATAGATTTCGTCAATAATTCTAATAACTGTTAATCCAGAAAGAATGTTATTAATGACTCACTGATTCAAAATGTTTTCTCAGCCGATTGTCCTCCAGGAGCAAGAACAGAGCATCCGTCAGGTCGCTGTTGTGTATTTCCTTTCAAGTATGAAGGACATACCTACAACTCCTGTACACGGAAAGACCCACTTAGGCAGTGATGCTCATTTGATGCTGACTACAAGGAGGATTGGAATTACTATGGCAAAGAAGAATATCATTGTACATTCTCCAGAATACATTCAGATCTTTATATTTCTCTTTAGCTACTTCAGTTTTGATAAAAATCATGACGGAAATATACAAAGAATAAAACATTCCACCATTTCTTTCAACTCCTGCGGTATATTACCATATTTTACAGCGAAAAGCAGAAAGCTTAAAACAAAAGGGACTGGTCAGCGGTGAGTTGGTCAGGACGGACGTTACTTTACGAGCTCCGCTAACCTTAATCAAGTTTGTATTTTTATTTAATGATTATCTTTGTTTAATTGTATCGGTATGTGATCATTAGCAGAGACAGCACTTGTTTTAGAAGGGTGGCCCGCCTAGAATAGCTTGCTAATTGCGGGTCACCTAGGACTGTGATAATATTGTGTTGCTAACAAATAAATAAATTGAATTGAAATGAATTGAAATAGCCTCTAAAAAGGGTGCAATTTTTGCTTATTGTCTTGACCTGTAGATGACAATCCCTATCGAGGTTTTCGCAGGACAGACAAGGCTTTTAAGTATTCGATCAAAAACAAAGAAGGACTGATGTCATTTAAGAGTATCGTAAAGCGTGTTTCCCAAGCCATTTACACGAAGATAAACTATGGTGAAACATTTGGTGGTGGCCACGATATTCTTATTGTTCACAACGCAGATCATAACACTTATTCTTTCCCCCGGTTTGGTCACACCTCGGCTCCAAGTGAAGTAAAGGAAGAGGATACAGCCTTAGCTGGGAGTCTCAGATTTACTCTTGCTGAAATAGAGGTGTTTTATCTCCCTTAAAGCTAGACTGAAAAAAGCTGCTCTGTTGCTATTTGTAGACCACGCACTCTAAGTACTTAAGGAATGTTGTACTCCATGTACTGAGGACTATCATTTTTGTCCCAGCTAATGTAAAGAGAAATGCTAGGCGGTAACTGGCGATGAACCGAATTCTCATCCAGGAAAAGACTGTCTACTTGTTATATGCGAGTGCCGATACGGTGTAGTTTCAGCTACCAGGATACCTTTAAGTTTATGGGCCACTCAGCTCGACTCATGCGCAGACTTTTGATTATGTCTAGCGGTAATTTGGGATGTAATTTGGTTTTTTAACTCATGAATTGCGCGTGCGCAAGAGCGAGTTGTAGGTATGAGGTGATGAATGGCGCTCGCTCGCTCGATTGGTCGATTCGTGTAAACTGTTTTCTATTTTAGGCTTTTGAATGTATTTGATAGTTTTTGGCGAGTGATAAACAAACGAAATGGCAACCTTTGTTGCTAAGAATAGTGCTGGGGTGAAAAAGAAGCCAATGATAATCTTGAAAGAGTAAAAAAATATACGTTTTTTATTTGTGAATTAATTAAAGTTTGCCCAATCTCCGAATACACTTTTATCTCTTGCAGCGTATATTTCATTTATGGCATTAATACTTCTATTTTCAAATGTATACATCCAGGAAAAGGATTATTGTGTCCTGAAAAGGAAAAAAGAAAACAAAGAAAGGAAGTTAAGCAAAACGCGAGTTTTACTTGAGGACGGCGGATTTGAACCACCTACGTCGCCACCTTGTAAATCTCACTAATTACATTGCTTTTAACCGTAAGGCCACCGACACTCCATAACGCCATCGTTAGAATTTTTATGTAAATATAAATTTTACATTTAAAACGCTGATCTTTTGGTAATCTCAACTACGGGCTCAAACGACTCGAGTCGCTGCTCGCCGATAGTCCGATTTTGAAGTGTCACTCACGGCCAACTGCTCGTAAAGTGACTTGTTTGAGGCTTGTTTGGTATTCCTGGAGCTGTATCAACGTTGGAAAGTGGTTCACAAGTNTTAAAATGAGAATTCAAAGTCATAATTCTTAAAACAAGGAATGTAAATCTTATTTTTAATGGTGGTATTCTTAAACTGAGGAACTTTCATTGGAGAGTATAAAATTCTTAAAAGCAGAAATCTTGATCCTTACATTTCAAGGAATTGACTCTCAAAATAAGGAAAAAATCCTTGTTTTGAGTATCCACTGACTAACAATAAGAATTCCGAAAAACAAAATTTAGAGTGGTGTGAACATCCTTGTACTTGTTTTTTCATCCTTGTGCTAATAATTATCTCAGAAGTGCGAAACAGGCTTCAAGGGTAGTACTCAGTTGCAACACAAGCATAGGCATAAACATAACAAGCTAATGTGCAGGTGGGCTCAGCTGCAACATAAACATAAGCACAAGCGCTCAGTCGATGTTATGTTAAATAGGGACATGGTTGGTATAAGCAGTATAGTGCTTGCTGATTGCCTGAAAGACTTTCGCTTCTGTTTATCCTTACGCTTATGCCAACCAAATCTTAACTAGACACTATAAGCATGAAAAGAAGGCAACGTTTTGATAATGTTATGTATATATGCTTATCCTTATGTCCGTGCGTTCCATCCAGCGTAAAAGCTTTTACATGCCTATCCCTATGCTTGCATCGCAAGTAGATACTGAGCTCAATATTGGAACAATAGTTTTATGATAAACAAAACAGCACCCTTTGGAAGTTTCACAAACCTTTACAGTAAAATCTGGAACAGTGATTGTCTTGCACCAAAGCCTAATCAGGCCATATTTTCTGTCTTTGAGGACTAATTTAGTTTCATATCATATTCCTCATCATGCTCATTTACCAGTCTAACGATTTCATACCTTAGTATGGAAATCAAACACCCATTTCTATTGACGACACAAATTACATTGGCTTATCCAATTCACGAGTTGGCTCACAGAGCCTTTGATTTAATATAAATACAGTTTATCTTGTACTTCCAATCAACATTTTTTTTTATGTATAATCAAAACTTAGTACTTCAAAATCATTTCAGTTAAGATGAATAAAGAACAGCTTAAAGAAAACCTACGGTGAAGTCAGGTATAGTAATTTATTTTAGAGACATAAAACCAAGACACGTCACATAATCATTTTGGAATCTTAATCTTGGCAGGTTAATTAAAGTCGGGTAACAATGGAATTCCTTGCAATATGTTTTCTTGGCAAGCAAATAAAATTATTTCGTTATCACTCGCACCTAGGACAGCAGCGGCGAAGTTGTCGTCTTTTCTAAAGTTTTCTGCTTTTTTGTTAATGACTTTATGGGTTTTTTCATAACTCAAAATGTCAATTATTCTCAGGATATTTCCTTCTAGCTCAACACAGTTTGTAGATCTGTTATATGTAACAATATCAGGCATAGACGCGAAAATAGCGTTTCAGAGATTAAGTAGTAGCTCAACTGAAGCTCTTTTCGTAGTAAAATTGTCATCTTATTTCATTAACAACTTAAAAAAAAATGTCTTTCAGTACGAGGTGCTATAGCAGTCGAAACGTGGCGATCAACAGAATTACCATACTTATTCGGCTGTAAGCCGATCCTGGCGGTTAGCCGAGACCCCAAGTTTCCAACGGGTAACATTAACATAACCAACCCAAGGATCTCAATTTACTGTTTATCTTGATAAAATTTTTCATCAATGATATTAATAAATGGCTTAAGTTTGTATGAAGCCAGTTAAATGTTTCTCCATACACGATAGTTTGAAGATCAGACCGTATATACATATAGACGTTTGTTTTGAAAAGTGTGAGAGAATTCCCTGTGGTAACGAAATCCAAGAAATAAGCAGGATTTGATTAGCAATGAGTTAACCACCTTGATGCCCTTGTGTAACGCTTTTAGAGGCAAGAGAGTATGAATATACAATAAAGTAATTTGCATAGAATCTAGACACGTAGACAGGTAAAAACGAACGATATAATATCCCGACGTTTCGGCGACTTCATGACGCCATTATCAAGGGTACAAATGAAAATGAAATTAACAAATGCGAGTTCAAGAGTTACAACTAATTTGCATAGGGGAGGTAGCTACACAAATACTTTAGCACGGATAGGATCCGTTTGCACGTTCAAACTCGGTGTTAATTGATTGATGTAAAGCATCTCGTTGACAAGACAATCGAATTTGTTCATGCACTTCTTGAGAACTTTGAAACAGCTTAGAAGGTCCTCAGGGACAGTACCTGCGTGGTCGTTGTCGTACTGCTTGCGTACTGAAGATGACGTGCTTTTATGGCTATCCACACGGGCATATAAATGCCCACGTGTGTAACCAACATAGCTCCCTGTATCGCACAGGTTACATTTAAATTGGTACACTACGCTCTGTTGATTAACCAGCTGTGGTTTGGTTTCACATTCTTTAAGGTCTTG